AGACAGTTGTACACTACGACTGGGTTCGAATTACCACAGAAATCGCATCGATTCATTGGGAAAGGATACATAAATCCGCCTTCCAGACGTTAAATATTATACTCTTTACATGACACTTCGTGAACATTACTCCGTTCCTCATGGGGGAGTACATGAAATTGGTTGCCTGATATGGACGAGGTCAATTTTAATATTAAAAGGATACCGGCGTCCACATATTTATTTATTTTAATACAGGGAGGTGGTTCGAAAATACACAGCGGCAATATGCATCAAGACATTGATATGTTATGTGTCTCCTCATGTTTTACATGAATAATGACTATTGATAATACTTGTTGTGTGGGGGTCACGTTTATAATAAATAGTTCAGCCGCTATACGCACGGCTTGGGTAGTGTGTTATAGGAATGGAAGGGATTTTCATTATTTATACGAATCTGAACAACGCCAGTCTCACTATGGCATGCACTGTTTATACGTGTATCTAATTTTAAAACACTGATACAAGCTTAGATATACAGACAGGATGAGCACTTCATATACTCCATTATGGATAGAACTACACTGAACAGAATAAAAGAAAAAGAAGAGTGCGGGAAAATATGAACACATCAATTCCATGGAAGCTGTAGCATTCGTGTAAAATTACATATTTGAAATATGTTTCCTCTTCGTATTCATGATGAAGGTCTTTTTTGTTTGTTGCTGTTTATCTATGGTCACATTTTATGCATGGAAAAAGGATAAAACACATAAAAGAAAATACAGAAGCTGGGGTCGGCCACATGCAAGGAAGAATTCTGTGGCCTATGTCTCTTAAAAACGCGTTTCGCTCGGAACGTCCATGTGTGCTCTATTGTACAAGAAAGGGGCATTTTTTTATAAGATCTTATGCTTATTGAAAAGCATTAATTTTTTCGCGATCACTTCCCTCTATAGCGCAACCCTTATGAAAAACCTGAAAAATTAGTAAAAGTGGGGTCGCATAGTTATATGACTACACACTTGAGTAATTTTCCCTTGACCCTTACAATGGTACATATACCTATATATACGTATGTATACATATATATATATATGACTGTGGTAATATTATGTTGATAAGTGGGCTAACGCTAATATATTGCTTCTAAGTAGTTATGATAACAGACAGGATACACGTCGGTGTACCGGAATGAGTATTGCACATTGTAATAAACCAGATATGAGAATATAATATTGATTTTATACACATGATGAATTTTGCAAGAGATTTGTTTTCAGAGGTGTGCGCGTATTTTCTGTGATTTCCTTTTTTTTTTTCTTTTTTTTCCGATACATTTTGCAATACTCGACATGTCCTTCATTGGTGTGTATTGATTGCCGCGTAAAACTATACGGGCGAAGTAGAGGCAGAGGTAACAGGCAATGTTTTCTCAGGATACGGAATTGCCTGTAAATAGACACAAGCTTTGAAACATATTTCTGCTAACTATTCAATTAATAATTAACTGAAAAATTTTATAGTTATTTATTTTGATAACAGGGAGATCATTCATGTGAATATGATATTCCCTTAGAGGATATACTCTTCTGGATATTGAGTTCTAAGATGAGCTCAGCACCCTATCATGGTATTAATGGAACTGTCAAATCTGTCACTACCCCGGTTTAATATTAAGTAAAGAAGAAATCGATTTTGAATAAGAAGATTGACTAAATGGGAAGACGTATGGGGGTGAATAATAGGAGTTAACCATTCATCGCCGTACAGTAGAATGTGCGCAGAACAAGATATTGCAATAATTATATTTAAGAATTCCTCTTGTTCCGTTACGGGAGCCGCTGACTACTACAAATGTGCTAACGCGGTTCAATTAATTCGGTTGAGGAGATTACCTATTATGGGCAAAATTTAACAGGAGAAGAAACGGAAAAATGTGAGTATTACACCTGTATATAAAGCAAGATAGGGTACAGCAGAATCAGAGTATGTTAATCAGAACTAGATCGAAATCGATAAGCAATGACGAAAATCATGATGCATGAATTTATTGTGATTATCCCCCGATAAATATAATAACACAGGGAGGGAAAATAGTGAAGGAGACTTGGGTGTGGTTATAATATATTACAAAGAATACATCATAGATCTTAGGAGAAAATTCAAGTATAGAATCATGAAGAAAAACTGAAAATAACGAATATGTGTGAGTATAACCGAGTTCTCCATTCTGCATATCATGAAATATAATAAATTAAGGAAGAAACATACAGCATACTTCATTTCGAAAGGTTCCGCCAAATTACCTTGTGAGTCTTAACTGAGAATACATCAGTTTTAAGAAGCATAACAGCCCTCTTCCCTGAAGAAATACACATAATGTACATGCGTCTATACATTGCTCTCATTTCTTGAAAACAGTCTGTGTGTTGTTGACTCCTTTACAACTGACCATGGAACATATACCCATGGATATACATACAAATATGTATATTTTTTCCCTTCTATATGTGGGATTAATTCATGAGTCATAAAAATAAGAAATGTTAACCTGGGGAATTATGATGCCCATCTGGCGTCATAAAGGAAAAGGCTACACAAAAACACCACCAGAACGAAAAAGAATAGTACGGATGGTTAAACATCTTTAAGCACAGGGAAAACGTAATTACCAGTATATGCTGATTCAAATTAGAAAATTGATCATTTGGCATAAAGATGTGCCCCCTTAAATTACAGAGTTGTTCATAATGTGTTCTATCTATGCATATATAAAGGGAGTATTGGATTGTTGAATTTGAACTGGTATAATATCAGTTCTAATTCCATATTGAACATTAAATGCGTGTTGCATATGATTGAGAGGGCTGCTATAGGGTTTAAATTTGTTTATGCCTTTCTGTGGAAACTCCTATGAGTGCAATGGAATAGAGATATGCCGATCCGATGAGTACAGCGTGAAATGGTGGGCCGTCGTATTTATATGGCTTGTTTTATAATTACCCTATTTTTGTGAATGCGTTCTCATGCCCCATGGTTTTTGTGAGTGTGCTCCTTGATGTTTCGATATTTTCATTAGTATCCCTCGGCAGGTTGCATTGTTCTTGTGTATGTTTTTCCAGGTTTCTGCATTTGTATGAGAGTATTTTTTCATGGCGCCTTTTTCCCTATATATGCGTGTTTATGTGGCCTAATTTGGCGAGCGTGGTTTCACGGGGGATAATTTCGCAAACGTTGTTTCACGTCCGGTAATTTCGAAAACGTCGTTTCATGTTGAGTCATTTCGCAAACGTCGGTTCGTGTTGAGTAATTTTGCGAACGTCGTTTCACGTGGGGTAATTTCGCAAACGTCGTTTCACGTGGGGTAATTTCGCAAACGTCGTTTCATGTGCCTTAATTTCAGGAACGTCGTTTCACGTGGGGTAATTTCGCAAACGTCGTTTCATGTGCCTTAATTTCAGGAACTTCCTTTTATGTGGTCTAATTTTGTGAACGTGGTTTTATGTGGCCTAATTTTGTGAACGTGGTTTTATGTGGCCTAATTTTGTGAACGTGGTCTTATGTGGCCTAATTTTGTGAACGTGGTCTTATGTGGCCTAATTTTGTGAACGTGGTCTTATGTGGCCTAATTTTGTGAACGTGGTCTTATGTGGCCTAATTTTGTGAACGTGGTCTTATGTGGCCTAATTTTGTGAACGTGGTTTTATGTGGCCTAATTTTGTGAACGTGGTTTTATGTGGCCTAATTTTGTGAACGTGGCTTCATGTGGCCTAATTCTCGCGCAAGTGGTCTCACGTGGCCATATTTTACTAACGTGGTTTCACGTGGGGTACCTTCACGGACGCCGTCCCACGTGGAGTAATTTCGCCAACGTCATTTCACGTGGCGTAATCTTTCGCGCACGCCTTTCTATGTTTCTTAATTTTTCCCGGACGTGGCCTCATGTGGCCTAACCTCGCCAAAGTCCTCTCCTGTGGATCAACTTCAGGCGTGATCCTTTCATGTGTTATGTCTGTCGCACGCGCGCTGTTTCGTTTTGCTTCATTATATATATTTCTCAATTTTATTCTTTCATGAAAATACACCTCTCTGCGGCATTCCTTTGACAAAATTTTTTCGGAGGGTTTGTTTATGATGACATTTTTCGCAGCATTCTCATGAAAATGCCTTTATCTGATGCATCTTTATCACGATCTTTTACGTGTAGTGTTTTCATGATGATGCTTTCTATTCCTGCATTTTTATGATGCTACCCCTCGGGGTCACTGTGTTATCTTCGTGTTACGTCATTGATGAGTACTGCTTTGCCGGGGCATTGTGATGCTTTTCCTGTTTGTCGCATGCTTCTAAGAATGTTTATATCTGGTATGTCACTATAATCATGCTTCTTTGTGTTACATTCTTACATAGATACATCCTTCTTGTCGAGTCAATATGATGATGTTTCTGTGTGTTGCATCTTCTTCACGATGACAGTTCGTGCTGCATTTTTATGAAGTTTTCCTGTTTCTTGGTGCGTTATTGTCAGGTATCTTCTCTGTGGGGCATTTTTTCCCAGGGTCCACTCTACCGCGTTGTACTTTTAATATATTCCTTCGCTCGCCATCCTTATACAGATGGTTTCTTCTGGCGTGTCACTATTAAGATTCCTGTTTGTGTTTCATTTCCCTTTTCATGATATTTCTCTTTTCGGGTGCCGCGATGAGGTCACCCGTGCCACGTCATTGTGAGAATTTTGGATTCTGTGGCATTTCTTTTACGAAGACTCCTGGGACCGCGTTATATCGTTGTTATTTTTCTGTTTGGCTGTTTTATAAAGATGCTTCTTCCTTTTATCATTTTACTGCGAAGGGATTTTTTTGCGAGGCATCTTTTTTATGAAGATACATCCTCTCCGCGGCATTCCTATGATGCTATTTTCTAGCGGCAGCTTGAATATATTGTTCTGTGTTATCTGTTTTATATGGATGATCCTTCCTCCGCCGGCATCGTGAAGATGTTTTTTTTTTCGTCAGTTATTTTACGTTGATGTACCTTCCTCGGGGAATTCTGAAGATGTCCCTCGGTGTGTGATTTCCTGTATGAAGATGCCCTTTCTGCGTGGCAGGGTATAAGATGTTGTCTTGTTCTTTATTCTTTTTATGAAGATGTTCTCTTCTCCTAGTATCTTCAGTATGCTTCTTTGTCGCGTGATTCTGAAGATGTCCCTTCGCCTTCATTATTGTGGAAATGTATTTTCAGGCCGCATCATTTGAGAAGATGTCCTTCTGGTTGCATCCCTGTTGATATGCTGTATTGTATGTCATTCTTCTTTATTAGAATTTTTTCTTCCCTAACATTTTGATCGACCTATTTTTTTCTTATGTGGAGTCATTATGAAGATATTTCTTTTCCTCAGTTATAATCAGGATGGCCCTATATGTGATGTGTAAATAGCATAACCATATGGATGTGTTACCATGATCAAAGAGGAATAATATACGCATGTGTGAGGGGGCACCTCTATCCCTGGTGTATTATTGCTTTAGAAATGATGATGTTCATGGAGTACTATTAGGTGAATAGCAGTGTTACCTGGATAACACTGTTATTGGGGAACCACATTTGTGTCTAGGGTATGGATATCCACGTATGTTATTGCATGGAATATACTGATTTATGTATAGTCCTCATATCTGTAGAATACTAAGATGCTTATGGTTTCGTCACATCAAAACCCCAAGCCTGCCTGGGGTACTCGTCTTTGCAAAATACTGGTGTGCCTATCTGACGCTGGTGGAGCGTTGAGATGGACATGTAGTACTGTTATGTGAAGTCCATGGATATTGCACTAGGCCTATTGTCTAGAGAGTACTGAGGTCTCTGGATCCTCAATGATAGGGTTTCCGGAAGTCCACATTCTAGTGTTCTATGAAGGTACTAGTAGTCAAGCTATATGAATCACCTGGAGCGCTATTATAGTAAGAGCAGCATTAGGTGCGAACTGCTGTGCCTGGATGAGTACGAGTAACCTGGGAGCACTATTATTTGGACAGTACGAGTGTGCAAGGAGTATTGTTACATTAAGAGTACTTTTTTGAGAATAATACTTTTATTTGAGGAGGACTACTATTATGTATGAAATGATGTACGATAATGAGTAGAAATATCCCCCGAATAGCATCATGTGAAGTGTTTCGATATAAGGTTAACGGCTCCATTATATGAAGTATGGGATTTTGGAAATCCTGTCGATTGCCTGGAATACTATTCCTTGAAGAATATTGCTACACCCAGAGTACTATGATGTTAAGAGTACTTTTGTTTGTGCAATATTGACATTCCAGGAGTGGTATTCTTAATGGAGCACTATTCTATGAAGTGGCTGGATATTCCAGGAAAACAATCGCCTAAAGAGGACTGATTTGTATTCATTTCAAATAGTGAAAATTGTGAAAGTTCCCGTAGTATTGTTATATGAATGTACTAATGGATGAACTATAGTGATATCTGCGGTGTCCTATTCTCTGAATACCACAGTAGCATAAGAGTAATGCATCCTGTGGAGCTATATTATGTAAGCCATCTCACGTGTGCGTAGTATTAATATTTGCAAAGCAGAGTTGTGTAATCATAATGCATGTTTCGGAGCCACGATTATTTAAAGGGTCTTGATATACACAGAGTGCTTTTATATAGGGGCCACTACTCTATTAACCGTGGCAATATATTCGCAATAGTATGTAGTGAGCTAAGAGTAATTGCACCGAATATTACTATGGAGTGAATGAAACATTGGACGTTTCGTTATTTGAATAAAACCATTGTTCATACTGCACTGATGTCTTCTCATTAGCGGTATCTTATTTTTGAACGGGTTAAAATCGCGGCTGTACTATAACAACATAAAAGGTTTACGAAATCCTGTGATGTTTCTGCAGTAGCATTCTTTAAAAAAGAGCGATATCCTAAAAGTAGTATTATATGCAAAGTGCTGTCCTGCCTGGGATATCATTGGTTTTGATAACATTAATGTTACCAGAATAGCTTTCCCGCGGGATACGAAAATCCATAACATACATAGCACTTATAATTTTAGGAAGGACAAAAGAGAAAAAAGTAGAACAAATGCCGAGAGTGAAGTTTATACATTGAAGGTACTGCGACATTGGGTACAATTCTTCACTTCGAAAGAGAAATAAATATATAAGATAAAACCATCTAAATGACTTAGAAGTATCGGCAGACATAAACTTGAAGCTTAAAGGGAAAATGCAAGGGGAGAGTAGCCCCATATAACCAAAAAGAACAAAAATAACCTAACAACTAAGAGTACCTAAAGCAATGTTAACAGAGAAGAAATCACCCCACAGGAAAAAAGGATGGACACAGAAGAGAACACTTACAGTAACATATGAGGTGGGATGTTCACAACGCCCAATACCGCATCAAATAAGAAAGGAGTTGATTGGCAACTTTCCTGACTCAGAATACACGCGATTATTCGCACTTAGCGAGAAAGATATATAAGTACGAAATTTCTTACCTATATTAATTGGTGTTCTAAATTTTTTCCTATCTGTATTGAGCGTTATGGCTTGAATTACAAACTCTACAATATTATTTGTTGCCCTAGGATGTAATATCCTGTCATACCCTTCGTGATGTTATACATGAAAATATATAATGGTTTAAAGTAGATTTATTTCTTCTTTGAAGTTTCAGAGGCTTCCTTAAGAGCTATTTTGTCTTTGTAAAGATATAACACACTTTCTGATGTAAATCCTGGAGGGGGTAAAACATTCAGTGTCTCTATGCTTAGTGTAAAGGTGTCCCTTTTTGTCGTATCCCACATCGTAATCATAAGTTATCTATGTTGACTGCATGGGTTACTACTGGTCAAAAGTCTGACATGAATGTTGTGTTGTTACCTGTATATTCTCTGTTGCCCTGATATCCAATATGAGGATTCCAATTTTTTGGATCGCATTACTCACATGACTTTGATTTTACTTTTCTCTATTCCTTTGGTGATTATACGCGAACAGACTATGAGAAGAATTTCTTAGATTGGAAAAGTCCTCCACCATTTTATATATAGCACTATTCTGGCAGTAAGGAGACTCATTAAAAATGAATCCATCCCTTCCTCCGCGCATGTACTCATGTAATGTGTGGATCAGTAGCAGGCAAGTGTCATATGTAATCCCACGATTCCTGGTTTACCAATTGCGCATAACCCATTTTGTTAAAGAGAAATGCAGAAAAAAGGCGAAATTATATGTAATATTGCCAGGGACGGATTTGACTTAGAATAAAGGAAGAAGAAATTAACCAATATTCCTACCTAAAAAAGATCATAGACGGACAACTGGAAGAGACCCAAAGGAAATTTAACCAGAGAATATAGACGTGCAGATCATACCTATCATCCTGGACAGAGCCATCAGGTGTGTGAATAAGAACGATAAAGACTTTATAAAACTCACAACCCATTTTGAAGAAATACGCGGATTACGGTATGAGCTGGTTCTATTTTCGCTTAAACAATTATTGGCAGATAAAATCCCCCTTTGACTAAATTTATTCAAGCAACCGCACTAAATTACTATAAATTAGAAATTTTCATCAAAAATAACTCAGCGTTAAGTGCCTTATTTTTGCAGCTACACTATTATCCCCATCGTTGAACATTTATTATTTCATCCCAACAGAATACGAATGTCATGGAACAATAGAATATGCCATTAGTCATCTCCTGGTCAGCTGCCAAATTTAGGGATCAGATCTAAATTAACTCGGCTTCAATCTTTGTGCGGATTATACGAAACTGTAAACAACATGGGTTTTATCATGTGTTCTACTTCCACCACGCTGTGAGATATCTTCTAACAACTCTCCCCCCTCCTCTCTTCCGTTATGGTATCGTAATGTTCAGTGCAATACTATATATATCTATGACCCTGCAAGAAGGAAGAGATTTAGTTATCCACGTAACAACGTGCACTATCCCCAGAATACCCATCAATCAGGATTTTTCCCGTTGCATGTCGTGATAATATATCGTCCTTATTATAAAATTTAAACAATCAACGGTTAGAGACTCTTGGGTGTAATTAATGTATTGGGGGTATTTTGCTTTATCAAAAACTTATAATCATAAAAAATATATAAGCCCTTTAATACAACATGTCTTTATGGATTATAATAAAGGGAACCGTGTAGGCAAATTACTGAAGCCTATAAGTCCATTACATATTCTCTTCGCCTATTACGAAATAATTTTTCTCCTCACTCAGCAGTATCCTCACTCTATTTTTGTAATTTTAAGTTTTAGAAATATCCTGGTGGGTATCTTAGTGGTCGCAACTTTCTTTCTTTAAAATCTGAAGAACAGAGGGAGACCCCCTTAGGTAAAGAAGAAAAACCATTATGAATATACTCAACAATTATATTGTCTTCGATTCTTTCTCTATTGCAGTACATTCAACCGTTAAAATAAAAGAAACTGGGGTCCGGAAGAGACAACACGGAAGTTAAAGATGCTCTTCTTGGCACTAGCCTAACTCACGACCCTGATATATATCATATAACCCCCTTTATCATAAGGATTCCTGTCCACACCACTAATATGTTTAGTTATGTAAGCGTATATATCATCTTCTCTCTAGGGCATTCTAGACAACAAACTTTATAGGAAGACAAAACAGCAGGAAGGCCAACCTCGGGCGGGGGACTCTATAATCACCTAATCGAGCCATTTCACCGCAGCGAAAAAATCCGAAATAGTCCCCCCAAAATCAGACCTAGTTATATGATAAGATTAACGCATTAAAGGGCTCTACCCAGAAACGGCAGGGGCCTAGCACAGAGCCGAGGGTTCATTTTAAGACCCCCCAACCAAACCCCCCAAGGAACTAAAAAAGAGCGACACATCAGCAAACGGAATAGAAATTCAGAGCCGTAAAAGAATATTTCTCAGCCAAAACAGTAGCTCCTGCCCCAATAATGAAATAGAAGACAGATTAACCTGATGAGCAGTACGAGAATCTTGATCAAAATTGTCCCGGTGAAGTATTCAGGACCAAAACCAAAAGAGAAATCACAGACGCATCTTACGGATACAAGATGTCAATCTGGGCCAAAAAAGAACAACCAAGCATTATTGAGCCATAAATTTAAAAGGCTCAGAACGGGACCCTCCATCCAGGAGGAATCCACAAGAGTAGGTAACCCAAGAGGAAACATCCCAATCAGAAGGAAAGAACTAACAGTCTGCAAAAGAATCAAGGAAACAAACACAAGGAACTAGAGACCGACGACTAGAGGAAGATAATTATAGAATCCTAGAAATATCAGTGAATGGTATAGGGTAAGAATCAATAAAAGCTCCCTGGACGGGTGGAAGTGATGTCCAAGCAATACAACTCAATAACCATTTAATATCAACAGAGAACAACAAAAGAGCAATCCTATTTTCCTCAAGACAGGCAAGGAACAAATCCCTTCCAGGGAACAAGCCAAACAATAAATCAGAACCAAGGAAGAATCCAAGCCGAAGTCATACCCCAAAAGAAACAAAGAGCATTCAGGTGAGCCGACCCAAGCGAAGGACTGGGGACCATCCCAGGTGAGGAAACAAGCAGCCATGTGCAACAAAATCAGTGCAGGAACAGAAGCAAAAAGAACTGAACAGGCTCATCGTAGAGGGATGTTTCGACGTAGTGAGGACATTTGGGGGAAGACAGAGTCCTGGAGAAGCAGAGGATGGACGTGAAGAGGCAAGAAACCGGTAAGAAAGATAATCGTTGATTAAAGTCCAGCGACCGAGAAGTCTCCAGAAACAGCACAATCCAGCCACAAAACAACTTCCTCATTCTTCATCGCCAAGTTTACGTCAAGGGACATCGCCAGCACCACTAGGGACAGGAGAGAGCAGGAAAAGAGGCAGGCAAAAGGAACTCCAACAAGGAGAGGCAATTAATGAAACTTCCAGAACAAAGCAGAAACATAGTCAAGTTAGGAGGAGTAATAGTGCCAAGGGACAGACTCGGTGAAAGAAGCAGCCAAGGCGGAACCAGGAGCCAAGAAGTCAGGAACAGGAAATCAAACAAGAAGCCACCAGGATCCTCCCCCAAGCCGTAAAGCCAAGGGAAAAACTCTCTTCTACAGGCGAAGGAACAGGAGGAGTTTTAAGGATCCTGCAACCGAACCGCCAGGAAGTCAAGGAAGGAGGGATCCTCGACAGAAGACGCAGGCAGGGACACTCCAGGGACAGGAGAGGGCATAGGAGATTATCAAGGCCTGTAGGCACATGTCAAAGAGGAAATAGCACCGAAAACAGTTCAGATAAGATAACGAGCGAAACAACCCAGGACAAATAGGAGGCCCCGAATCCCAGGAACAGTCCACAAGAAGGGACAGACAAAATCCTAATACCGACAGGACGCCCTCACCAGCCCCAAGCAGCAGTGATTAGAGGCGGAGCACAATACAACAGGAAGGAAAGAGGCGAAAGAAAAGGGGGGGGTGCATCAGGGGACTCCTTGTCCGGGAGGACAAAAAACAACGGGAAATCCGGAAGAGACGACAGAGGGAGCACAGCGGACCGCGAGAGGGACCCCCAAGCAGGAAGAACACAAACAGCAGACGACCAAGCCCCCACAGGATGCAACAGAGGGGACCACCCCGTTGTTCCACCGCCAAGAGACAACACGAAGGAGAAACCATTTGGGTATGCAGGAGTTCAGGGGCAGAAAACCCTTGGACAAACGTGGAAGAGGCAACCGAACAGAGGAAAAAGGGGAAGAAAATAGGGACCAACACAAAAAGAAAGACCTCTGCTCAGCACATGAACCCCAAGTCGCCAAGGAGCAGAGGAAGGAGACAGGAAGGAACAGGTGAAGGAAGATGAACAAAAAATGGAGACAGGGGGTCGGAATCGTCATCCCCAGAGGCAAATGTCCACAACAGGCGTCGGACGCGGCGGGTGAAGGAACGACCAAAGAAAGGAAAGGATAAGAAAGTAGGCAGCCAAGGAACCCCCACAACAGAAACACCCCCTGCGGGAACGTCAAACAGGGGAAAAGTCGTCCAAATTATAAGTGACGAAGGAAGAGGCAACCACCAAGCACTCCAATCCCAAGGGAAGAGAGTCATAGAGCGGCGGAAAAAAATACAAATTAATCAGCAGCAGCCAAATTCATTCGCCCAAGACTAAGAGCAAATGGAAAAAAGAACATCACGAACACCTAGAAGCAGACGGACCTAGGGGATAACAGGCGGAGATGGGAAGAATCCCACGAACGTGGGACATATCACAAACCCAGAGCATCATCAAAGCCAAGTTGAGACTATCCAACTCAAGGAGGGCAACAGCAGTGCCCCGAAACTGAGGAGAAGAATGCTAGGGGAGACGTGTCCTCCCTGCTACACAAGGCCGGAACAGGAAGAACAAGGGAAAAGGATTCAGGTCACACTAGGCATGAGCAAAAGGAAAAAAGGGGGACCAGGAAAGGAGGAGATCCGACGAGGACAAGCGGGCCGAGACGCAGGGAAATGCAGAAACAAGCTAGACGGGAGCGGCAGGAACCCCCAAAAGGGAGAAGGAGGAGTAAAATAACAACGAAGAAGTTTCCTGCAAGTCCTTAGCGATTCCAATGCAGAGGGAAGTCAGAATTCTAGTAACTTACCGCAAAGGGGGGGAGGAGCATGCCTATCGAACCCAAGGGGGGCACTTGAAACAGGCGTAACCGAAGATGCCGGAGCCTCCAAAGGGGAGGGAAAGATCACAAGTGGGCTAAGGATCAGTCATAACGAGTCAAGGAGGGGAGATGAGATGACCGAAGAGAAGGATACGAAAAACTCCAGATAATGGCGAGGTTAAGATCAAGAATTAACCTGAGGGGCAAAACCGAGAAATAAGGAGGCAACAGAAATCACGCCCCGCCTAAGCGTAGAAACCCGAGGAGAATCCAGGAGAGGAGGGGGAGAAGATTAGATGAGGTGGATAGAAGAGGAAAGAAAGGTGAAGGCAAAAGGGCTCATTGAGAATCCAGGAACACAGAACAGAAGAAAACACGACAGTCGAGGAGAGAACAGATAGAGGACCAACACAAGAGACAGTCCCGTACCCCAAGACAAGATAACGAGGGCAACAGGCAACGGCAAGACAAATGGATGAAGAAAATCAGCAGGCAAGACCGGCCGGGCGAACACTAGGAGGAGAAGAGGTAGGAAAGACAGGGGGAGGAAAATAAGAAAAGAGGGAGAAAAGGGTAAAATCACAAAAAGTAAAGAGGAGACCGAGAATCTAACAAGGACCACAATATCGAAGGGCCGAACGGAGGGGGAACGAGAAGGCAGATGGAAAACCACTCTCCAAGACGAAAGGGAATGGAAACCGACAAGGGAGCAGCGGGCGAAGAAAAAATAAAAGGGGCCTGAGATGACAAGGAAAAATAAACCAAGGGACTGAAAAAGAAGCCAACAGGCCGAAGAAGAAGCAAAGGATGAATAATTTTAGGAACTACTTAGAAGATTTGGCCCAAAAGGCCAAGGGTGCAGGAGAGAAGGAGCATGATAGTGAAACGAAACTGACAATAACGGATCTGAGAGATGGGAACCAATGGAAGAAGGAATGGGATCAGGGGACGCGGTGGAGTAATATAAATAAGGGGACAGGGACCGAATATTGGGCAGCCGAAGACGCCGCACGGATAATTTGCAAGGGCATAGAAGGATGGATGGCGAACTTTGAAGAGAAGGAGAGCCCGGAGGAGTGGGTTTCAAGTCAGAACTGCACCCCCGAGAGGATGGGCGTCTACGGTGGACAGAGGGATTCCAACAAGTGTCCGTATAAACCAGAAATTGAGAGTTGGAGACACTACGGCAGCGGGAGAGTCTTGCATCCAGGCAGAAAGGAAGACAGGACCTTCATAGTATGTATCGATCTCGTGGCTATTATGCTGACAGTCTATCAGAATATAGCAAAGAAAGAAGGAAACTGGGTAGCATACAATCAAGGGAAGGACATATGCCAGGTACTGTATGAAAGCTATTTTTATTGGGGAGGAAGAGAAACAGCTAGGCGAATCATGAAATTCTGGTTTGGCAACAGCACAACATTAGAATTAGCTGAAGGAAGGAGCGTCGAGCTAGGAGAGACACCGACGCACAGCTGGGGAAAATTGATTGGCAATCTACCAACACTAGTTAAAGGGATACAATGCAACGAAGAAAGGAGTACCCACGACAAATACAGCACAACATGTGTATGGTTAAGGAACGAATCAGGATGTCAACTCTTAGAAGACCAGGACTGGGAAAACACCAAGAAGAAGTGGGTAAGGCGGGGAAGTTATATGATCGCGGAACCGGGCTAGAATGAGACGGCGCTAGGTGTTATCCGTGATAGATCGTTGGGAGGGAAGCACTAGCCTTCGTGAACAGGGGCTCAGGCGGTCGGGGAAAACCTCCGGCGGTAGTTTCCATGGGAGGATATACTACGTCTGAAGTCCGTGAAAGCCGAAACCGAACGGGGGCCCGAAATGAGAGATTAGATTGAACCAACGAGCGCCTCCCCGGGACGGACGGCAACATCACGGAGAGGCACGAGGCAGCAGCCCCCTCCACCTGGTTGCAATTAATCACCTTATAGGACGAGCAACTGGAAGAAAGGAAGCAAGAATGGACCCAGAACCTCCAGGAAATAGAGAAAAATGACGTGGAATTGCAGAAAGACGGAGAACAAACCAGACTTCAGGCCATAATAAGGGGCGTAACAGGGGGAGGGGTGGTAGCCGCAGCATTGCCCTTCGGATGGTACATTTGGAGGAGGGTCTTCTCGTCGGCCCCATCCACCGAACGAGGCTTGATGAGGATAGGATATGCCAGAGGTTAGAGCCTAGTGCCTAAAAAAGGGAAAAAGAGGAACCCGCAGGGAGGACACCCGCAGCGAATTGAGAGGGGGCCCACAGCCCCAATCGAACGTCTCCAGGAGGACGCCAAACACCAGAAGACAGCAGCTGCAGGCGAGCCGAGCAGGCAGCTAGGCCTGATGGCCAGGAGGGAGTAGGGTCATGACGCCGGTTGAGGGAGGGGGAGGCGTGGGGGGGTTACGGTTGACATTTAGTGTTAGGAGTTTAGGACTGGCGGCCGAAGGCAGGGCGATTCGGGGTTTGGGGTTCGGGGGGTTAGGATTGGCGGTTTATGGATCAGGCTCCATCTGTTAATGTTTAGCTTTAGGGTTCAGGGTTTAGGTTTCAGGGTCTAAGTCTTGTGTGCTGGGTTTCGGGGTTTGGTGTTAGGTTTCAGGGTTCAGTTTCTCACGATTTAAGTTTCAGCGTTCAGGTTCTCATTGTTTAGGGAT